CAATTGCTTAAACTGATGTAGCCACGTATAAGTGCTTTCCCACTTCGAATAGGTAATTCCTCCACTTTCTTGGCAAAAAAAAGCAGCCAAAATATCAAGAGCTTTTTTGCATGGTTCCCCCTATTGGAAGCAATCCAACATAAAATAAATTCTATAGATTTTTCTATGCTATAAGTTAACACATATATTCGATCAAGGGGGAGCAGAGCTATTTGTCGTCTCGTGCAACGTGGTCGTAGTATGATGGTCACCCTGCTTAGCAACTTCGACATTTTGTACGTCCTCATGTGGCGCTGTTCACTGCCGAGCCTGACTACACTATATCGGAAGTCGAATACTACAAGTAAAACTCCAGCTGACTTACCACGAGCTCGTCCAAAGTGGCCTGACCTGACAACGTAAGGCAATATAGCAATAACTTATTGCACCTATTACTTAACCTACGCATCAAATGGAAACATATCAAGAAATCAATCAGAGCAATTGTGATTTAATCAGTCATTTTGTCGTTCTGTCTGCGATCAAAAAATAGTAGCACGTACATGACTGGTTCTTAAGAGCCAGTGTAGCTGTGGCTTCCCCTAATAGCTATTCGTTGACCTTATTCCTCGTCAAGCACTGCTTCATGCTGCGAAATTTCTGGATGTTAGACGCTTACGACCGCTATCGAGGCAAAAGTTTATGTTGTGCCCCTTTTTCGCGACAAATAGGACACGTGCAAACAGTGTTTGCGTGGGTTGTGTGGATAACACACAGCCCCGTTTTCCTAGTTTGTTTGTATGATGCCCGTTATCTGTTTCATGTATGCGCAGACCTTCAAATCCTCGATCATCACGTACTTCTGGTTTTGTGTTTACCCAAAGAGTGGGCACCGTCCGTAATGCTGTGCGTCATTTCTCAATCTACACTGTCTCGACAACAGCGACTACGTCTCCCGGTCTGTCACCCGTACTAAACACTCCATTCCCATTCAAATGAAGAACAGCACCCTATACCCGCCAAACAGACAACACTTGAGTGACAACATTGTAGCAAAGGTATTTGTGCGGTCCGGCATTCGTCGAGTCGTTTCAGCGCAGCTCACTAGCAACGGGGATGGAGTTGATACTGATGGAAAGACACAACTTATTTCCAAGGGTATCCAATCCAATCTCGGCGACGTGATGACCGCTTCCGTATCGAGCAATTCCCTCGCCACAACGAAGGGTGGCTCTACGACGACCGTCAAGCAAGTCATCACTTCGACTCAACATGCTGGCCCAACTCACAGCTCGGCTTCTTCACCGGCAGATGTGCAAATAAAGATGAAGGTAGTCACCGTAAACGGAAAGATACCGGAACTCAAAATGACACCAGAGCTGGTGGAAGATCTATTTCAACTGGATGCCAAACGTCGGACACAACGACGTGCAGCCCAACAGCGCTATCGCAAGATGATTAACGACCGCACAGATACTCTTGCCGTCGATACGCAGCGCCTCAAAGAGGAGATCACACAACTCGAATTGCGAAAGAAACTCCTCCATTCACGCATTCCGTCAGAGGCAACACCCTGGAATGTTGTGGTAGAATACTTCCGACTCTTTCGATACGGCTGCAAAGTGCCTGCGTTAACCACAGAGCCTCATAAACACCATGGCACCCTCGTGGCTGAAGGAAGCTCAGAGTCAGGCCGATTTTCTGCTTCAAGTAATGTCACCCGATGTCAGTGTGAACAGCGGCATCGGTATCACTGCTCTTCTGCAAGAGTGGAGGCTCCTTCCACAAACAGGCGAGAATTTAACAGTGCATCTTCTACATCTCGACTATGACGAAACGGCTGCCATGCTTGCAAAGGTCAGAGTGTGCGTCACTATCACGAACGAAACGCTGCATACCAATTTCCCCCAGCTCGTTGATTCAAGTAAAACATTCAACCAGCCTTCTCCACGCACAGAAAAGATTATTGGGAAACAGATTGTCATCCCGTGTACCGTGCGCTTTGATTGGGACTGCAGTACTGCTCACGTAGTGGCCATTCGTTTCAGGCCAGATTTGATCACCCCCTTTATGGACGTGCTTGGTAGTTTGAAGGACGTAGCCTCAGTGTTGGACAACCCGTGTCTGGTGTTGGGTGTGCAGCCAGCTAAGGTGGCATAGCGCGATCATGATGGTCAATCCAAGCTACACTACCAAGAAGGCCTAACTGTTGTGTAAGCCAAAGCTTTTATTGTTATCATATTCAGATTGCTTCATGCACGTGCTGTACCACAAGAAATCAAGATAAACGGCAATGCCAATACTACAATTGACTCTGGACCACACGGTTCGGGCTTGGAGCACTATCACCATTCCAGAATTGAGACAGGTGTAGGCTTACCTACTATTACTCTTTCCATTTCAAGTTCAACTTAACTGCCCTTCGTGATCTCATCGCAATTCGCTGGTTCTGAGTCAGGTTCTGCTCCCCTGCCAATCACCGCAGCTCATTGTTAAGGATTACTCCACCGCATAATGAACGACACGAAGGAGCTTTCGGCCTCTTAGTCCCCTAGAAGATCCAAATAGTTGTCTAAACGCGGCTGATCAAGCAAGCGAATCACGGTGCTGCTCAACTTTGAACTAGAGAATCTGGAAGCTATCGCTACTTGGACCAGAATATCGCTCGAGATTGGATTTTTGCTCCTAACGCAAACCCTTATTTAACCCCTCAAGCCGCGTACTCTGTATTCTACAGAATTTTTAAGCTTTCTTTTTTTAAAGAAAATAATGCTTTCCAGACAACACTGAGCAACACATTTTCAGTCAGCAACGTAGTCCTATGGGGTTTACAACTTCATATCTACAGTAGGACAACTACTACCAAGCACGAACGCCACATCCTCCAAGTTGCCTAGTATCTTCAGTAGCGACATCAGCATTTCTGCTTGGAAGTGTCTTCCGGTTACCGATGCCATTCTCGCCGTCGACGCGTCCCAGTCAAAACGCACTTCACTCGGCAACTCGATCCGTTGGCCCAAAAGTTTCTCGGCCAAAGGAAGAGGTTTCCCTTCTTCGCTTATTAA